TGTTTCATAGCACTGGAACTTTGGGACATCCCATTAAGCTGCTTGGTGGGAGATTGAGGGCAGTTAAAAGAAAGTTTTATGGATTCATTGCCATAAAAGCTGGCAATAGCCACCAACTTAGATGCCTTCAAAAAGAGGAGTTAGGCAAATTCTTGGAGAATAGACTGGCTAGTCATAATAGCTATGTGGCAGCTCCAGTTCTGCAGACAGTATGCCTCTGTGTATCAGCTGCTGGGGAACACGAGTGGGAGGGTGCTATGGCACTCATGTCCTGTGTGTGGGCTTTCCGCAGGCATCTTGTTGACCACTGCAGGAACAGAATGCTGGACTAGATGGACCCTTGGTCTGTGCCAGACCAGCTTTTCTTACGAAATCAAAAATACTTGCTTGACGTGCCGCTCTGTTGATCTCTCAAGTGCTTCATTTTGATAATATTCTATCCACCTTCTCTACCCATCAGATATTGTTAAAATGGTGGCAAATTGCATGTTATCCAAGACTGTTGACAAATTAGGAAAAACCTGCCGATGTATTTACGATTTGATCCTTTGCTGATTGGTTGGTAGTCCATTGTAAACACTGTAGAAAAGCATGGCGCAGTCTCCAAACCATCAAATTGGTTTGGACTTGGCACCCAAATTGGTGAGTGGAAAGCTCATTGCTCTTTCCCAAACAATATTTTGCATGTGGTGTCAACACTCTGCAGGAGATTAAAATGCACTTGTTAGCATTGTATGTGAAAACAGGGTGTTGCATAATGACTCAAAGTGGAGAACCTGGGTTTGCTTAGCCTTACCTTGGAATAGCCGTGTTGTAAAATATAAAGGAAAATTATAATGGAACTCTCCAAAGAATGTGTCCCACTAGCCCAACATGTAATAATGCAATTCCAAGCTTGAGTTGATGCACTGACCATGCAGAACAAAGATGTTAAATGGGTGGCCTGGTTTGCCCATGACAACAACCCAGGGTTGTTTTAAATCCTGGACAGTCAAGAACAAGCCGGTGTGGTGGTGTATGTGACTCAATCACTCCCACTTGGCTACTGTGGCCAGCAGGAGCAGTTAAACAAGCTGGGAGTGATTCAGCCCTGGCTTGGTTGGTGTTCCATCCAAACCTGGAGTTCTGGTTCTCCTCTTCCACAGCAGAGAAATAACCATGGAACAGACTGAATGTTCTGTAGAGCCATCTTCCCCATCCAATTGCCTTCCAGATGTTCTGGGCTGCAACTCCCATCATCTTGTACGTACATTGCCAATGCTGGCTGGACATGATAGGAATTGTAGTCTAGGACACCAGGTTGGAGAAGGCCGATCTAGTTCTTCACTAACAAACAAGTAAACCATAGCCTAGAGATACTTTTGGCTTTCTATTTCTTATCAACAGGGGTAAAATTTTTGACCAGTTGGCAGTCCTGGTGATGAGTCAGGTGAGATGCATAATTGTGCCCAACATGCGCACATTGTGCAGCTCAGCTTGCATGTGCTCCCACATAAAGGCTGCTGTGCACCTTCCTCCGCTCCCCACTCCCTCCTTTGGCCTCTCTGCCCAATGAACTGTGAAGGCTGGCACTAGCCATTTGGCTTGGAAGAAAATAAGATTCCCGAGAGCACCACACGCCATGGATTTTCTTCCTGGTATCTTGCTTTGTCTGACTGAAAATTTGTAGGCTTTCCGCAAGTCATGTGATTAGCCCAAATCAAATAACTTGCCCTTAGCAGGCTTGCTAAGCCTTTCCCTGTTGCTTCAGTGCTTGCTTCTTCTTTTTCTCAGAGCAAGTCGACACTCTCTGTTGTTTTTTTTTTTTTACTTCGTTCTGGCCTAATTGGGATTTTAGCTCTGAGCCTTCCTTATTTCTCAATCTGTTACTGGTGATCTTCCTCACATATTACAGATATATGTGCTTCTTTAATCCATTGCTTGGCTGCCTCTCAAGACCTAAACAAATGCAGCATGGTTGTGAATGTGAGCAAAGAACCTACATTGTTCCAGGGAAGGCATCTTGGTGACTGTAGCATTTGGCCAGCTTTAGGCCTTTTCACAAAAAACAAACAAACAGACACTTCCATGTTACAGAGCAGCTGGATGGGCTTGGGCACTGTAAAAAACAAAGATGGAAGCAGTAAATAGGAGGTTTTTGAGCACTGCTAGCCAGAAGGAATTCTGAAAGAAGCAGCACCGGCAACTACATTTGACAATTATTTTTCTACGGCATGAGTCCTTTTAACAGAAGAACAGGCTCCATGTTTAGGGGCACCAGACTTGTACTATTTATTTATTTATTTATTTATTTAAAATATTTATATGTCATCCTGTCACAAAAAGCCTCAGGACGGCTTACAACATAAAATACAACATAAATAAATTCCCAACCCACACTGGCTGCAGTTAAAAACATAGAAAAGATAATATTAAAACTTATTAAAATATTGCTGGAATAAAAAGGTCTTAACCTGGTACCGAAAAACAAATAACGACGGCGCCAGGCAGACCTCTCTGGGGAGCGCATTCCATAGGCAGGGCGCCACCGCAGAGAAAGCCCTCCTCCGCGTACTTTGCCTCCTAATATCTTTCATGGAGGGTTCCTGGAGGAGGGCCTCTGCTGCCGATCTCAAGGGGTGGGAGGACAAATATGGAAGAAGGCCTTCCTTCAGGTATCCAGGTCCCAAGCCGTTAAGGGCTTTATAGGTGATAACCAGCACCTTGAATTGAGCCTGGACTTCGATGGGAAGCCAGTGAAGCTGATAGAGTCCCCAGTCCCCATCAGCAACCTGGATGCTCTATTTTGTACCATCTGAAGTATCCTGACTGTCTTCAAGGGCAGCCCCACATAGAGCACATTGCAGAAATCCAACTGGGAAGTAACCAATGCATGTGTCACTGTCGCTAGGCAGTCTTCCTCCAGGTAGGGACGCAGCTGATGGATTAGTCGAAGCTGAAGGAAAGCGCTCCTCGCCACCGCAGTCACTTGAGCTTCCAAGGACAGCTCCGGGTCGAGGAGCACTCCCAAGCTGCAAACGCTGTCCTTTAGAGGGAGTGCAACCCCATCCAGGGCAAGGTTCAAGTCACCTACCCAGGAGATCGATCCACCCACCAACAGGACTTTCGTCTTGTCTGGATTAAGTTTCAGTTTATTGGCTCTCATCCAGCCCATTACCTCGGCCAGGCACCGGTTCAGTACAGCCACTGCCTCACCTGGATCGATTGAAAAAGAGAGGTAGAGCTGGATGTCATCAGCATACTGATGAATCCGCAGCCCAAACCTCCTGATGACCTCTCCCAGCGGTTTCATGTAGATATTAAATAGCAAGGGGGACAAGATGGAACCCTGCGGTACTCCATGGCATAGCTGCCGTGGCACAGAGCCAAAGTCCCCCAGCACCACCTTCTGGAATTGGCCGTCGAGGTAGGAGCGGAACCACTGCCAAGCAGTGCCTCCTACTCCCAGTCCTGCCAGCCTATCCAGAAGGATACCATGGTCAATGGTATCGAAAGCCGCTGAGAGGTCCAGGAGGACCAACAGGGTTCTCTGAATAGTGGGCAGTAAGAATTACTTTTGTAAACCTGAATACAGCTGGTAGTTTTTGGCTTTTAATTCAGATCCTCTGTGATGGAGTTTGCTGACATAGTTCTGTCTGGGCAAGTTGTTCATAACTGGCTTCTACTGATACCAGTGCTACCATATGCAAAGCTGAATTAACCATTGAGAACATGGATCTATGTCTTTTATCCTTCCCAGAAGCCAGTTACACTAGATGTTCACATTATGCAGTGAAGGTTTCTGTGCCTTTCTGTGTCATGCACGTGTTAGACCTACTTAGGTATTTTAGCAAATTGATTAATATCTCCAAATTTACATGATTTGTGTATATTTGCAGTGCTGGAGTGCAAAAAAGGATAAACCTTTTTGAAAAATTAGTATCATTTAGATATAGTTCTCCTATATGGAACCCCTGACCTTCATACTTTTAAGGGTTCTTATTTATGCTCTAGGAACTATATTTTACTTTATTTATTCAACTGCTAGAGAATGACATCATGCTTTGCATTGATGATAAATTGCTCTTGGGAGGGATACTGTTGCAAAACTCAACAGTGTGGCTTGGCAAAGCTACCTTTGGATTAGTATTCCAAAATTTATTCCTTTCTGTACTGCTGTGCCACCTTGGCTTTCTTATCTGTTGAAGAAGAAAAGAAGAACTGGATATAGGTTGCTCATAGTTACAGGCAAGGGATTTAGATAAATTAGGGAACACAGAGTGGTTGTAGGCTGAAGAGAAGGAATTACCCCTGGAAGTCCAATGATCTTGTAGATTCCTGTGTTTCAGTTGCACTTGCTAGAAGATTCACTCCTCTGGTGGCTATTTAGATATGTCATTTGAACTGCTTGGTGGAACAACTTCTGCCAGCTTACTGTATGTTTAATGTCGCTGCTTTGTCTGCTGACTTCTCGTTGAAAGAGGTGGCATAATTTGTGGGTGTTGTGTTTGGAATGTACAAGGAAATACCTCCCACGTTAAATGCATCTCCACTGCTGGTGCAAGAATAATGTATGATGCAAAATGCACACCTTCCACTGAGCACTGTTGGAAGCACACATATTTGCGTTGCAGAAACCAAGCTTTGGATACCCAGGAGGCAAAATCTTCCACAGGGAGATCTGGAGCTTTTTGTTCCAATGGTGGCTTGTTTGAAATTGATTTGGAGTGACAGCTACTTCCATTGCCTCTTGGGTTGATTGAGTCTTTCTTTTTACCAAGGAGCCCTGTTGTGGTGAAAAGGAAAATACATGTTGCTTTGCATGTTAAGGATCACTAAATTAATACACGAAATTTTAAGAACTGAGTTCTGAACCAGAAATTCATATTAGGGCCAATACTTGGAGCTTGCTTTATAAGCCACAAATTGGGTGTTTTTGGAAGGTGGGATATGAGGAATAGATTTGCTTCATCATAACCAGGTGCTCATCGTATATCTCCCTTTTCTGTTCCCTCTCGCAGTCCTTGATTTTCTTGGCCCTGGTGGGAGCAATCTTCTTGGGCATCAACCTGGTCTTCCTTGGCATCTATCTAATCTGCCTATGCTGCTGCAAGAGGGAAGAAGAGTCGGAGACAAAGAGGTCCAATTCTTGTTGCATCACATGGACTGCTGTGGTGACCGGTCTCATCTGCTGGTGAGTTCCTTTAGACTGAGGAGCAAAAAGGCAACATGATAGGGGTTGGGGGAGACACAAAAACCAGATGCCCTCTTTCAAACTGGGAGAGTAAGTCATTGCTACATTTATAGTTGAGAGGACTAGTTGTAAAACTGCATGTTTCTCAAGGTTTTGCTGTGGAAGAAACCAGCGATATCGAATTAAAGCAGGGTACACGAGAAGGGGTCATAGAATCATAGAATAGTAGAGTTGGAACAGGCCATGAAGGCCATCGAGTTCAACCCCCTGCTGTTGCAGGACACCACGTTACACCATCCCACTCAGATGGCTGTAGTAAATGCAGTTTATAGACCTTCTTCCAGCAGGGACCGGTTGGGATTAGTATATCCTCCCCCACACACACATGTAAAATACATGAGGAAGGCCATACTTCCTTTTGGATTTGTGGTGTGTTTTTTTTAATGGGAATGCTGGAAAGGATACCTGGTTTTATCTCTGGAAAGAAATTATTTTTAGAAGGATGTGGTCCAGTGAATAGTGTTCAGTGTCTTAGACCTCTGAGATTAGATACCAGATCAGTAGTGAACACGCTTAGTGGCTCTGGATGAATCAGTTCACCACCGCATCTCAGTGTTCGCTGAGAGAGACTCTTCTTTATTCTGTAAAATTGGAATAAAAGCAGCTTTGGTCATGGTTTGTGTGTAGATTAACAAGGTTCTTCATTACCTTCCCCCAAAGACATCTAGAAATCCAAAAAAGGTAGACCACGACAACTCAAACACCAGATTAGTTTCTGGTGCTTTGAGAGTCAGTAAGTAACCACAGCCCTTCTCTAAGCTGCTGAGAACTACTTACACAAGACTTGTTTCCCATATAGACACCATGTCCATTTAGGAAAATTGCCTGTAGAAAAATCTCCTCCAATCTGGTGCTATCCAGCTGCTTTGGACTATAATTTCCAAGGTGCCTAGCCAGCATGGCTCATGTTGGCTAGGTATGATGGTAGCTGTAGTACAACAGTGAAGGGCTCTAAGTTGGGGAAGGCTGCTGTAGACCTTACTGCCTTAGCAGAGCAGACCCCTCTCTTTTGCTTTGTGCGTACTTAGCTAACCCTCGCTGCCCTTGTCCCATTGTGTTTCTCAGACCCTTAAGCATGGTCAGCCCACAGCGCATGGAATGGGGGCACAGTTCCCTGCACTGTGGCTAAACGAGGCGGAGTTTTGTTTCTTCCTGTTGCTGAACAAAAGAACAGCATTCAGCACACTGATCCTCATCCACCATATATGCAAGTTATAAATCATTGTTTGCTCTTCATTACCTTTCCCGCTCTTGTCCAGGTGCAGTATATCCGTTTGCAAAGGTTCCTATGTTCTACAGAGGCTTCCTAGGTCCCACTTCAGTACTGCTTCCTCCCTGTTCTGCTACCCATCCCTCTGGCAGCTAATCCCAAGAGCGGGTGGGAGACTGAGCAATGAAGGAGTGTTTTTAGCTTTTAATCCCACCCCCTGAGCAGATGGCATAGCTGGGGGTCACGTGGGGCTTGCAGTTAATTATACATGAAGTCTGAAACTATTAAGGAGGACAGCATGGGGGGATCCCTGGAAAGGGAGAGCCCAGAGTCCTTGTTCCCTCCTCTCTCCCCTTCTGGTATAGGCGTTCTCTCACCTAAGAGCTTCACTGCATTTCTGCAATGTGCTTTATGCTGTCTTTAGGATGAGTCATTCCAAGGTTGGATGTTGCACATAGCAAGCCAGACACCACCCACAGGAAGGAGAATGGGCGCATGTTGATTCTCACAGTGGTTTTCAACTACTGGCCTCTGCACTGGCGCTGGTCCGCAGGAGATTTCCTGCCGGTCTTGGGAAGGGCGGGGGCATCCCACTTGCTGTGGACTGGTGCAGAGGCTGGCAGTGCTCTACCACCTCTTCCTCAATTGGCATCCCATTCACAGGAGATGTGCCAGTGCCACCCGGGGGGGCGGGGGAGATGGCTTGGTGGGAGCCACACTGCACCAATTTCAGTATTTGGTTCTTTTGTTGGCATTTTTTGTTGCTCAGTTTCTGGTTGTTTTGGAACCTTTTCATTTTTTTGGTATTGTGTTTAGATACTCATGCACAGAATACTGTATTATATGTATGGTGCTTTTTGCTTCTGCCCAGTGGTCCCCAAGGTGGTTTTCCTGTTTTTGCTGGTCCCCAGCTGTGGAAAGGTTGAAAACCACTAGCTTATAAGCCCTCTACTCACCCATAGCCACATGATTCCATTGAATCTTGGCTGAATCTCAAAATGGCAAGGATGAGAGAGACCTAAGGACCATCTGTTCTTGCTCTGAGGCTGAATCATTCTTGCAGCATAATGCTTCAGAACAGTCGAACTTGTATGATGGAGGGCAGCATCCCAGGATCACCTGGCTGGTAGCATGCTGTCAGGGGACATCACTGGGGACCATTTTGCTACACAAGCATGGCCCATAAGGTCAGTGAGTGCTTTTATTGTTTAGAACAATGAACAAGCTATGCCAGTGCTTTCTGTGCCTCCACCAGTGGCCATCTTACCACACAGAGGCAGCCGCCAGATAATTTGGCTCCAGGAAAATTCCATTTTGCATCTTGGTAGAATAATCAGTTCAAACCCAGGTATGCTAATGGACCATACTCATTTCCTCAAGAAGGAAGGTCTTCTTGGCCCTTGAGGTGCAGTTCACCATTTTGAGTGTCCTGCTTCCAGTAGGAGCCATCTTTGAAGCCAGGGGAGGGGGCTTTCCCCAAAGCAGGGGTGCCCAAACCACAGTTCACACAGATGCATGCCTATGTATGTGCCCATACCCCCATTGGGACCTCAGAGTCCGTGGGCAACGTCATATGAAGAAGATGAGACATTGCTCCCTTTGAAGGAGCTTTGAAGCAAAGCCCTCTTAAAGATGGGGCATCAGGTAAGGCTTTATTTGTGGCAGCTCTTTGGAACCAATCTCCTGTTTGCTCAGCAGCAGCCTGTGAATTGGCCTCCCTAACTTGCCACTAATGAGGCAGTCATCCTATACCAAAGAGTGTTTGGCCTGCCTAAAGGATCCAGCAAGAACTAATGCCTAGGAAAGGCTCAGCTGATTTCACTTAGAAGCTGAGTCTGTTCAGCCACTTGGACAGGCTTTCCGGGAAGTTATGGAGAGCAGCCGGGATCAACTGCTAAGAGGCTCTTTAACAGAGGGGTACAGCGCCTTAGGATCAGAGGCCAAACCAAGCCCCCCAGCGTTCCCAGATGCCTACATCCACTTTGCCTAGCCCTGCCTTCTTTTCCCCAGCTACTAGTAGTTTTGTGCTTTCCTCCTGCTTGTGTGTACTACTTTTTCCATTCCAAAAAGTCAAATGGACCTCTCCTAAGGCTTAGTGATGGCAGGAAGACCTTTAAGCCTTGATGTGCTGGCATTTTGGGCCCTGCATTTTGCCTTTTGCACCAGCAACCAGTGGAAAGTTATTGTTCCTTCCCACCCAGAACCTCTCCAAAACAGAGTTCAGCCTTTGGACTGAAAGCGGTGCCTATTCCTGCTTTATCCTAAATTCCTCCTTCCCTCTACTTCCCTCTTTAGAATGAGTGCATATGCCAGCCTCACTCACCATGGCCATTTCTCCTTCTGTGCCCCCTGCCCCTTCTGGACAGTTATGGAGCTCCTCAACTTCCAGGAGCAGCTGAACTCTTGCCCACTTTCTTGGAGCAAAGGGGAATGCAGACTTTCATGATGAAATAAGTCTGGCAGTGTGCCGTGTGAGTAGTTGCCGCAAGCCCCTGCCCTTATTTACCCACCTATGGTTAGTATTTACTTCAGTGTGGATTTTGCAGGAGCTGCACATGTGTGGTGGGGACCACCCAGTGTTGTGCATCACTGAAGTTCCACCTGTTGTGCAGCTGCCATGTTGTAGGGCTCTCCTAGTGAGGGATCCGTGTATTTGCATAAGGGACTTAATGTAAAAGTTGGAGAGCAGCTGGGACAATCATCCTTAAGTTTTTACCGTTAAGCCTGGTCTCCACGTAAGAGGCAGATCATCCCAAGTGACATCTCTGCAGGAAAGGCTTCACTTTGCCTCCTGTGCAAATGAACCGAAGCAGCTTGAGGTTTTGACCATTGAGCTACATGTGGCCTTAGGTTGGCTTTTGTTTGCCCATCTTTAGGACCTGCTTTGACTTCCACCTTCTTGGGGAGCAGAAATATTAGAGGCCACCTCACATTTTCAGCATCTCGGCCACTGATGGCTGCAGACCCGGAGGAAGTGAGATCCTCCTATCTCTTGTTACTTGTTTCCTTCCATACAGTTGCGAGGGGGCGTACATGACATTCTGTTGCCCGTGCCTTTAACTGTGTACGCCCTTCTCAATCAGCTCTTTCAGTTCCAGGGACTTCCACGAGCTTCAGTGCTTAATTGTTTGAGGGTGATCTGATCCTCCAAATATAGGGGAATTTTTTCTAATTTTTTTAGCTGAATAGAGTTATCTGTTTGGTAGTAAACATGCTGATTAAACCAGCATGCTCTTCCCATGACTTGCCTTCTTCCCTAATCCAGGCACGTGATTTCCAGGGCTCTGGACTTGTTTGAAACTCTGCCTGTATTGTCCTTCTATGCAATAAGATAAACGTGTATGCTTTGGACAAGTGAGATGGGGAGTCAGCAAAGTAATAAATATGTAAAAGCTTTTTTCTCTTTTGATCCCAGGGTGCTTTGATTGCAAGTGCAACAGTAGAGAGTAACTTCTGGGCATCTGACTCATAAATGCATAGCAAAAGCATCAACCACAATGAAGCCCCCTGCATGTTATGCTACACCTAGCTCACTTCTTATTTTCTGCTTGCCATATCCTATATCAAATGGATGATTTAGGCAAACCTATTGGGATGGAGAATTCTTAGATGCAGGTACATTCTTGCTGTACAATCCTATTACTTTAAATCAGTCAAGCTTGCCACTCCAGGCTGGAGTTCTCGGCTCCTAACAGACCCTTTATGTTTCAGCACCTTTCATTCTGTAATC